CAAGATCCTCGGTTCCATGTCTGAAAATACACTTCTGCTTTCACAGGGTTTGAATGTGGTTTTCCTTAAGAAAAGCTGTGGTTCTTACAGAAAAGAGAAGTAGGGGCTGAGTGCTATCATAATACTTTGTGCTGATGTGGTGATGAGCACAAGAGTTCTGGTTTGCAGAGTCTAGTGGGGAAGGAAAGCTGCGCAAGCAGATAGACTTTTATTATTTATTTTAACCAGTGGCTGAACTATGCTTTGAGGTTTTGAAAACTCTTTCTCTTGTGCATCTTGTTAGCTAATAGTGAATCAAAGACTCGCCTCCAATAGTCTTAGTTTTGTCAGCCATTCAGAGAGAAGGAGATTAGAGGCCACTTAAATATACATTAGATGAAGCTATTATAAGGCAATTCATAGGGAATGACCTGTGAAAGATTCATGATGATTTATTTGTGCAATTGGAGATTGAAAAGGCACTAAATCTTATTTATCTGCAGCAGCATTTTAGGATCAGAGTATGCAGACTTAATGTGATAAAGAATGAATCTATTTAAATATTATTTGGTGGTTTGCAAAGCGATATTTAAACTCTTTTTCTTCCTCTTTCCTCAATAAATAGAAGCACACTTAGCCCTTATTTTACTTATGTGACTTCCTCTTTGTGTAGCGTAGAGATGTGAATCTCATAGGTCCACCCACTGTGTTCTCTGGACTGTGTATCACATATGTGTAACAGTGTTGTCTGGTGGGACATTCTGTGATGGTAGCATTCTCTAATTAGCATTGTTCATTCTGGTAATCACTGGCTAGAAGTCATTACTGATCACATCAGATATGGTCTTTGTGATGGAGAAGATGAAGTTTTGATATTTAACTGTAATGATTTATATAAAAGTAGTAGCTGTGATACTGAACACACATCTTTATAAAAGTCTCTTTAGTAGACTGTTTCATTCAAATATAAGGTTTCATAAAATATCTTTCTAATAAAGAATTTCCTTTGTTTACTATTTTAGCTTGCTTTTGGAAATACTGTGTCTAAACCTTTTCTCTGGAAGCAGAAAGAGAAGAATACTATCAAAAGTTATTGATATATACGCTACCTCTTAAATACTATAGCTCTTTTAAGCATAAAGGAATTGTGGCCCTTATTCTATATACTCTTTTCCTCTCTTTGCTAACTTGTTATGAACTATGCTATGCTATCCTATCCTTAATGTTTATGTTGTAAATAATGACAATTCAATTGCACTGTTGAATGACATGAGACTCAAAATGAATTTTGAGCTGAATTTGAGATGCTGTTATCTATTGCATGTTCTCCATACACAGTTTTGTCTTGTGTTGACTGTGCTGGTGAGCTATCAATTGGAATATTTTAAAAGGTACCTTGGAAATCCGCAATAAATGCTATTGTCTCAATTTGTGTGGAAAGTATACATCATTGTTCTTTCTCTTTATGGTAATTGTGCAGGCCATCTTCTGTGGTCTGTCAATTTGGACCGTTGTCATTTAGGTAAGTACAACAAAATGAATATATTACTAACAAGTAGAAACATATCATTTATTGGACTCTGGGATAAAGTAGTATTAGATGTCCTGGAAACAACAGGATGAGAAGAAAACTGATGTACAGAACTATTTGCCTTTGGGTCCATCAGTTCTCATGACTGCCTTCTCCACAACATCAGAAACCACTTCAGACTCCTAGCATGCCCGCAAGAGGCTAGATCCAATGTGTACAGCACAAATAAATTCATTGGCTTTCTCTTGTTGGTTTTTTTTTTCCACTGCTCTTGCTTACATCTGAAAAGCTTTAATTAACCCAAGGCTGGGAGTCTAACCTTAATTCTGTCTGACATTCACATTGCACAGACATATTGTTAAAGTAAATTTACAATTAAGGAATGATAGTGACTAGACAAGTATGTCATTGCTGGTTAGATGAATAAATAGACTTTTTTGAAACTTCATAGTATGGGGAAGAAATGCATATTTATCTGTGTAGTATTAAATGTATAGTGCTTTAACGTTAAGCCATGTCATAAGATCGAATGAACAATATTGCTTTAACTAAAAAAAGGTAAAAAGCATCTTAAGTGCCTAGAGAGAGCATGTAGGAGTTATTCAAATGTACATTAGTAAAAGTTGTACAGTAACGCCTGAAGATATTCCCATATCTTTGCAGCAGTTGTCCACACAAACACAATATTGCCATAAAGAAAGGTGAAAAATGCCTGCTTTCATCATCTCATGTTTATTAATGCTGGAAAGGCTAGTATTCATGCATCCTAAACCACTAGATATGAAGCAGAAAGCCATTCAAAAAGTTGTTATGTTTTTTAATTTTTAAATCATTCACCATAAGATACATAATTCCCTGGAAGAATGCATAAATTAAAGGTACAATTTGACAGACTTTGTGTAGTGTAAATTTTAAGACAATGTAGCCCGGAATTTATGCCCTCTCATGGAAAGTTGGTTAAGTAATCAACACCAGGACTCAGCAATCCACGTGCACATGTTCATTTTTTTCCATGAAGCTCTGCAGAGAAAGAAAGGTCATGTGTCATTCTGAAACTTCACGAAGTGCTTCAAGTCGGTAACTACCTAATGAAATATAGCCAGATGTGGAGACATACAATGAAGTGAATTAATAAATGAAATGAGCCATCACATTCTTAATAGAAATGATTGTCTTCATTTACAATTAAGTTAAAAAGACCCTACTTGAGAAGTATATTATTGACTCATTTTCTATTCTGTGTAAAGTGTTGCTAAAAATTAAAATACAAACACAACAGTGCTAAATGGGCAAAACATGTTTTCTTTTTTTTTCCGTGAACATCTGGTGTATATATTAGAAACAAATATATTACATACTAGAATAGAAAAAAAAATCACAACACTCATATCTCTTAGTTTAGGTAAAGTGGATACCATAGCCTTATTTTGAATAAAAAAGAATACAGAAAATCAATTTATTAAATACAACTTCAAATCTCTACCATGAGAATTTTGTAGGTTAAAGTAAGCTTTGATAGCTTTTGTCAAAGCACAAAGAAGCACCTGGTTGGATTAGAAATCTATAAATATTGACCTGAAAGAGAAAGGAAAGAAATGCCTTCTGAGAAATATGAAACAGTTTCATAATTCATCAGAAGTCTGGGGAAAGGTAAAAAAGATAGTTACTTCTAGAAGAAATGTTCAAGCTGTGAGTCCTGCCAGATATTTACCCATGGATCATGGCTGGCTTTCTCATACAAGGTGATGAAGAATATGATTATTTAGTTTTCTCAAAAATCATCTGTCTTTGTTATAGTATTCCACTGTAATTAGAATATACATTCACTTACTATTTTGTTTCCTGAACTTAAATTAGAATAGTTTTAGCAGTTTAAAAATTTCCAAGGAAACAAAGAAATGACATATAAAACCACTACGTATCCCAAGTACTTATGTTCATTTATTTCACCTTTTTATTTATTTATTTTTATTTTTTAGTTTTTTGGTTTTTTTGGTTTTTTCTCCGGTACTGGGAACTGAACTCATGACCTTGTGCTTGCCAGGCAGGCGCTTTGCCGCTGAGCTAAATCCCCAGCCCCTATTTCACCTTTTTAGATCTTTTAAACTTGATTTTTAAAAGGCACATTGGATAACTTAATGATTAATCTTTTATAAAAGTCCATTATTTAGTCAAATTCCTTTCTAATGTATTTTTGTCACCATGATGGTTGACAGTTCTTTGGATTGTATGTCAATTTTTAGTTTAGACTATCAAATACCTATTTTAATACGAAGACATCTTCTCGTAATAGTCTTTCTTTCTATGCTAAAATAAACCTTTCCTTTTTTAGACCAAACTTCTTTCCTTCCCATATCCAGGTTTGTTTGGCAGTGACTACTAGCGTTTAAAGGACAGACATATTCCAGATACTCTATAAACTTCTGCTAAATAATCAATGCTGAATCTCTGACGCATGTGATGTCATCTTTTGTGTCTTTAATGCAATTCTGGTGCACGGTGGGCTTATGTGCCTAGCCTACACTACAATCAGTTCTTGCTGATAATTGGACTTTCTAAAATATCAAACTTTATGCTTTGGTAGTTTAATTCAAGTAATCTGGCTTATTTTAAATAAATCACACTCAAATACTTTATCTTCCACATTGCCTTATTTAGCACAGTATATGAAACATTAAATCATTTATTGGAGGAACCAGTAACTTCAAAGAGATTGCATTTTAACTTAAAGGGATTGTATTAGTTTAAATAGATCTTGCTAAAATGACGTGTACTTTTCTGACTTCAGACTACTCTGGGATTTACTACTTTACAGTTCTTTAACTTGTCTACTTTCATCTGTTACTTCGGTGAAGTTGATCAATTCATAACGAAACATAACTGCCTTTAATTATTTGTTAAAATTCAGAGAAATTTCATGAGACAAGAGATACTGAAGTTTAACGAACAAGTAATATCCTTCCCTTCCTTAACTCTAACTCACTGGGGCTTCACAGCTAACTAGAGTTATGCTTTATTTGGTTAAACTTCACTGAAATTTGAATGTGACCAAAAAAAACCCCCAAATTTCATTACTATTAACCGGCAGGTCTGTAGACAAAGAAAAAGAGGTAAAAGGATTCAAGACAGAATACACCACATTGTTTATCCTCAATGATAAACAAATAGGTTGTAGCAAATTTTTCAGAAACAAATCTTTTGTTATTATTTTTTAACCATAAATAAAAAAGAATGGTAGGGCTGGGGATTTAGCTCAGCGGCAAAAGCGCCTGCCTGGCAAGCGCAAGGTCGTGAGTTCGGTTCCTGGTACCGGAGAAAAACCAAAAAAAAAAAAAAAAAAAAAAAAAAAAAAAAAAAAAAAAAAAAAGAATGGTAAATATAGAAGGCACTTTATTGCATATTTTGACTGTTAGTTTTAAAAGTATGATTTAGGGGGCAGGTCACCATTTCTAAACAATTAAATATATACTTTAAAAATATACACACATTGAAAGGATCAACACAGTTTAATAAAACTGAAACAATACTATGCTGTGATGGACTGAAGCTCAAGCTTTAGAAATCAGTTCATTAAAAGTTCAATCATGAAAGAGTACAAAGAAGAGTACGAAGAACTTCACTGAAGCATCTTCTATTTTTGGTGATATTTTCACAGGAGGGATCTGCATCTGCAAAAACAAAAGCTGAAGTTGTTAAAGCTCATAGGCATGCTGTAGATCAGGGAAAATACATTTGCTTTAATAGACAACAGCTAAGTCTCTAATTACACGATGCTTCATTATAGCTTTTATTTGCATCATGTTTTTATTTTGAAGCTGGTAAAACATTATAATTTCAGATCAAAATGTATGAAAGTCAGCATTTTTAATGTATCATCTAGGTACAACTTATGCCTAAGTTTTAATAAAACTTATAAAATGTTTCTGTTATAACTCCGTTCTTCAGATATCTACTGTTTATTTCTTTCCTGAGTTTTTAATCTTGATTCAAAAGGTATTGTGCTGATAAGCAAATGATAGATAAAGAATACCAGGCTACAATGTTGTGTGTATTGTGAAGGCAGCACATTGATAATTGTTTATTTTGCTCCTGGTAAGAGGATCCAATAATATACTGGTATTTACACATCGTATTCCTTCTGTAATTGAGAATTATATTACTTTGTTTAAATGATGGCATATCATTATTTCTCTTAGATAAAAATTGCCAGCATAAAAAAGTCAATGTGCATATCATATTATTAAAAGGATTGTCATAATATCTGTGCCATTAAGTGGCAGGATATTTATCATCATATATGTAATTTCACCAGGTAGGCCCCTGGTGCCAGTGACGGAGACAGAAAACACAGTAATTGCATCGAGAGAAGTTGTGACAACTTCGACCAAAATGGCACCTTGAATTTCAGTAGTTCAGAATAAGGTGCGTTAAGCATTCAAATTTATTGAAGATTTGGGTTGCTATAAACATTGCTATGCATACCGATGTTCATAGCAGCATGTTATGTTCCTTTCCAAAATGTGTATCAGAGAAGAAATTGGCATTTGGTAGGAAACAGGATAACGCACAGCTGCTGTATCTAGAGTTGACCGCAAACCATGCAAAACTTCCACGATTAGGTACCAGTTTCAATTTTAGTGTGAAAATGTAAAGTAAAACACAGAAGGTGAAAACCCACAACTAAACTTGCTTCAAAAGAGAATAAGTCAACACCCACAGAAGTGAGATAAAGATTTGTGAAATACTGTTTCTTTATTTTTTTGGAAATGTAAACCAGTGAACGTAGCATCCAATAACGACAATTTAGTACCAAGTATCCCTGATGGGTCATGAAGAGAGAAGGTTGATCTAGGAGGCCAAAGATCTGGGTCTTAGAGCTTACTGTGGCCAAAAGTATATCAAATTTTGGATAGATAAATTTCCTTTTACAGCACCTATTTGCTGAGTTATTTTATAAATTAGGGTTGGATAAACTAAGACTTTAAGTTCTTGAATCTAACTACTTCTCAGTGTGACTATATGAGCATTATTTCATGATGATTAAATTTCATCTAGTAAATGATATGCAGATGACATCCCCTGATTGACACAGCTAGTACTATGATAGTAGGAATGAATATATCAAAACTAAACTTGAAAATCTGAATGAAAATTATAAATGTATTAGCATTTTATGGGTTTTATTATTCATGTAAAACATGAAACTTCACATGAGGAAGTAAAATAAAAATATCTACAAAATCTTGAGGTAGTGATGGGAAATAATAAATAGAAACAATGGCTGAATATATGGTTAATCACCACAATAATTAACAGAAGAGAAAGAGAAAATATATAGTTAATGTTTTTTCCTAAACCTATTCTTCTGTAATATTGCTCTTAAGATTTTAAGATAGCAAATCTTACTGAGATTTAATAATAATGATAGTAAATGTCTAGACACTCAAAGACTGTTAAGGAAAAGACACAACATATTGACTTGGACTTTACCCAGCACAATTCAGGAAACATACTACTTTAACGTTTTTTTACAATTTAGTACTCCCTACAGTTTCTGTGGCCTAAGGCTTCATTTGAATTTGTATATGAAAATGGGTTTCCTTAATAGTTTATCATGCTTGCTTTGGTTGAATTGCAAAATGTTAAAATGAATGATAATCTAGAGTGGCAAAAATATATGTAGAAAACAATCAACCTTAATCATTTTAATCTCAGTGCCGTAATCTCAGCACTTCAAGAAACTGGAAGACAGGAAGTTGATGCTGAGTTATTTGCTTTTTCATAGTAATTATCTAACCCCTACTCAAATATAGTGTGGCAATTATTAGCAAGCCCAAGGAACGACCACATTTGGTGTATCTCTAGCTATGAAGAAAAACATCTCAATCTGAATTTTGAAGAGGGTGCTATACCAAAGGCAGTATTCCTGCTCATATTCAGGATATGGCCCTGTATTTGTGGGTGCTCAGTAACTGCAAAACATCATTAATCAACAACTCCTGGTAACATTTTTTCATTAAATAATTCTAATAAAAATAGCATACGTTCCTGTGGCATTAAAGCCTTTGAGAAGAAAGGAAAAATGGAGTGGTTAAGTTACAAGAGGCTCAGAATTAACATGATGATTTTGGGTTTCTACATCAATGGTCTGAGGATCACTGTGAGAGAAGGCAGCATTTCTTTTTCTCTAGCCTGAAACTGGTAAAGCAGTTTTAGGTTTCCCAGATGTTTGGGAGGATGGATGTGTCTTCTGTCAGCCCTACTGTATAATATTCATGATTAAATAAAATGATGCATAAACTCAGGATTTACATTTTCTGGATTTTAGTTCTATTGTATAACTTTCTATCTGTGTGGCATCTTGGGTTAATTAATATAGTTAAGCCTTCCATTTATTTGTATAACAACTACTGCTTATGAAGCATTTACATGCCAGATATGTACATATGTATATATACATATATAAACATATAGGTACATATAAATTCATTTAATCCACAGGGCAATATTATGTATTAGAAGCTATTGTTATCTCATTTCATGAAGAGAGATTTCAGGATTTAAGTAAGGCCCTACAGTAATGAATAGATGACTGGGGATTAGAACAAAGAAACCCTGGTCTATCTTGCTTATACTTTTATCTCTTACACTATAATACTTCTCAATATACTAGAGAAAGTCACAGTTCTGCTTTCTGGAAAGGTGATGAAAAGTAGACCTGCATGTGAAGTATGGATATCATGTATGGATTCTAGCAGAGTTCTCAGAACTGTAACATAAATTGCTATTGCTTGCAAATATTATGTGTCCAGTATTCCCAGGTCCACTACATGCATTTAATTTAATCTTCACAGTATCACAATGGTATTATTCAAATGTAACAGTGCAATATCTTGACAGAAACAAAGTAATGTAGGAGTGAATGACAAAACCAGGATTTGGATGAGGTGTTTGATTGGGTAATATTCTACTGCTACACCATTTCTTTCTAATGTTCCACATTATCATAAATCCAGTAATGTATTCATTGATAACAAAATGGTGCATATTACTTGAATGTGTATTCTTTATAACAAAAGGAACTTTCTCTGCCAGGCCTGGTGGCACACACCTGTAATCCCAGCACTCAGTGGGAGGGTGGGGCCGTGGAGGAAGGAGGATACATGTCAGTTCTAGACCAGTGTGGGCTACAAAATGAGCTCAGCACCAGCCTGAACTGTATAGCTAGACCCTGTCTCAGAAAAAAACCAAAAAACCAAAACCAAAACCAAAACTAAAAACAAAAAGATTTTCTCATCTATATATTTATAAAGGCAATTTATTATGTAAATAGATTTCAACCCTTATTTGCATGTTAATAGTCATAATTATGTAGAAGATTATGAAAATAGCTAAGTCATCTATTTTCTTAGCTTGACGTGTATCTGGGATATTTATTTGCTTTCCAAAAGTCTCTTAAATTATTTATCAATATATGAATTGAACGGAAAAATATTTGCAAAAAGATGAATATATAAGCTAAGAAATCAGAAGGGTGATTTTTAAGTCTGGATGGATCAATTAGTCCATTGTGGAAATGTTTAATCAGATATCTGCACGTGTTGCTTCTTATTCAAAATGTACTCACACTTGGAGCCAGTTAACCTCTGGAATTTGAAAGCCGGTTTCTACCAATCCGATCCACGGGGAGACCAAACCGCCTTTTTGGATGATTTACTGCTTTCCTGAAACAAATCAAGGAGAATATATTTAAGCTAAAATTGAATTTATTCATCATTACCTTTATTCTTTATTCCAAAGATATGAGAACTTTTCCTGGGGTTTGGAATAAAAATGATAATTAGGATGCATCCACTACCTTTCTCACACTTTGAACAAGTGTTGAAGTGGACATGACCTTTGCCATTTTACATACAAAAAACTTGAAATATAGAAAAGCTAATTTCTCCATATTCAAATAGAGCATATGAAGTAGACTTTATCAGCTAATCTGCTAACTGAATGGTTTTGTGGGTAAATCTCTTCCCCTCTTTTGATTTTGTTGTTGTTGCTTTCTGTTTTGTTTTTTGAGAGAGGGTCTCACTGTGTAGTTCAGGCTGGACTTGAACTCACCACATAGCTCAGGCTGGCCTTGAACTGGGAGCAGCTGTCCTGTCTCAGTCTCCTGAGTCCTAGGATTATAGGCATGTGTCACCATGCCTGGTTTCTTCTTTAGATTTTATTCCTTTGTTAATTGTGGAAAATTGGACTGAACCAGTGGTTTTTCCCAAACTGCCTTGTGAGAAAGGATAATGGTGGAAAAGAAAATAGCAGAGATGCCAAGACTGGGCTTGTAGTGTATCTCTCAATGGCACTTAGAATTCACCCAGAGAAGCCTTGTACATGGCAGTCTGTGTGCACTTATATTGTCTTTACGTTAAATTTTGTTTAAAAAAATTTAAACAGATTCATTATTAAACTGAAATTTAAAAGAAATCCACACAAAAATACAAGAAGACTATCATCCAGTTTACCCTTTTATATAGTAACTCTTTAAAAATAAAAGAAAACATTACTATTCAATTTATCCTTATCATCCCTTAGTACTTTTCCCACCAAATTCCAGGGGATGACCTAGAATTTAAAGTATAACTTTCATGGTCTGGTTTTTGAGTTAAGAGGAATTTCATTTTCTATTGTTGACAGGGCTGGGTGGGATAAACTAAGAAGCAGAGGAAAGTGAATTTTCTCACAGCATAATGTAACTGACTTCCAGATATGTTAGGCTTTTCGTTGACTTACTTATGCAGAAAGGAGGACATACTATGTGCAAAATGATATTAGGCACATAAGATTACATGTGTAATAATCATGCAGAGCAAGAAACACAAAATTATCAATAACCAAACCGTTTCAGAAAGGGAAAGAATGGGGAAAGTTACTCAGTTTTAAATTTTGCAAGCAAATGATAATGATGGAGTTCTTGTTTGAAAAATCTCAGCGATGTGGATTTATTACCTTACAACTTCATTTTCATGTTTTTTTTTTTTTTTTTTTTTCCGGTACCAGGAATCAAACTCACAACCTTGCGCTTGCCAGGCAGGCGCTGTGCCACTGAGCTAAATCCCTAGCCCACAACTTCATTTTCAGTAGCTTAGTGTTAAAATAAAAGATTTTCTTCAGAACATTTTCAATACCCAGTTTAGTTCTTTTCTAATTATCTGCATCATATTGTTAAGGACTACTACACAATTTAAACACCAAAAATCCATCAAAATCTTAATTTTTTTGAGAATTTTTATAGTATCATTCAATTATGTTTATTATTATATTGTAATTGACCATATACCTACTAGCTGTGTATGAGATTCTTGTATAGATGAATCAGAAATAATTTTTCCTTTCAAAACGTATTAATTACTCTTAAGAGTAATATGATTTCATGTAAACAGTAGAGAAAAAGACTCACTTTTACTGAGGCCAATTTTTTCCTTAATAATGCTACTGATGTTATGATTACATAATTTATTGAAAGGCTCTGAAAACTGTGGAAACAATAGATCTATGATAGATTTTTCATTACTGTACCTTGCACATAAAAATCTACAAACTTTGCTTATTTAAATTAATTAGATGAAGGGAATCAATGTATACTCAGTCTCTTTTATGTGCCAGGTGCAGTCCATAATGCTGGGTATTCTAACATTGTACATACATACCCTCAGATGATATTTAGAGATAGTGTCATGTTATTTTCTCCATCTAATTTAACTACTTGCTGTTTCATAGCCATCTCACTTTTTATATGGGTTTTGGTTTTATTGTCTAAATTCAGGGCATGTATGAGCTTATAAGAATTTATTTCCTATACATCAATTTATTAATTGGATAAGGAACAATCTAGGAGAAAAACAGTTATTGCTTATTCATACCACATCCACACCCTTGCCTTCTTTCGGACATTTTTAGTGAAATCTATTATCTGCACTTTTGGACTTTCTGATAACAAAGTGACTACATAATTTTCAATTCATTAACCAAATTGGAAGCTGCATAGCTGTCATATTTTGTTATAATTATAAATAATGTTTTTTTAAAAAAACAAAAAACAAAAATCTTGCTGTGGATCTAATTCAGTGGTGCAAGTACCTGCCTGGCTAGCAGAACATCCTGAGTTCAATTCCCAGTACCCCCCAAAAAAAGAAAAGAAAAGAAAAATCTCTTCTTTACATTGTAAATTATCTTTAATCCACACAAATAAATTTATTACCATCAATTAAAGCAGATACTTTCCTTGTGATAGTAGGATAATGACTTCCCACAAATATCCACCTTATAATCCTTAGAATATGTAAAGAAATCTTTGGAGAAAAAAAATAAGATGGGAAGCTTGTCTTGTGCTGAATGGTCCCTATCCTGCCACTGACGTCTTTAAAAGGAGATGGTGCTAAAATAGAGTGGGTCAGACAAGAGCAGCAATGGATAAAGACTTCACCCATCATGGCTGGCTTTAAGGATGTAGAAAAAAGTCTTGAATTAGGGAATACTGTGGCCCTTAGAAGTTCTTCAAAGAAACAAGGATCTCAGCTGTACAGCAATAAAGGAGTGAATTCTACAAGCAAGTTGAATAAGCAGAAAATAAATTCCCTGCAAGAACCTCCGGAAAGGCTCACAACCTGCTGACTTCCTTTACTCCCTCTGTGTCCATTTAGGGCTACTATCTAAGTGCAGTGTGTTGATAGATAGGTAATGTTAAACTGATAAGTCTTTTTCCAGTACCCTTACATTCTTCTACTAACTCTTCTGCCATTAGACCTCCAGGAAATGGGTAAGACGAGCCACCTCAAGAGAGAGGAGCATGCTCAGGGGTAGCCTCAGACAGAAAGGAAGAGGAACTGAAAAACCAACCTCTACCAGGTGTTAAAGGACTGTGAGAAGGAGAAGGAACTAGCTTCTGGGAGAAAGAGTCGTCTGACATGAGCATCGGTTTCCCTAAGAGTTGATGTCATGAAAAAAATCCTTTCACTTTTTAAAAGGGAAGTGTGATGTTCTCATATATCATATACATTGAAATACAATGTTATCAGTTATTGTCAATTTAGGTTTTAAAAAATAAAGTTTAGAGAAAAGAATGTAACTTTTTTTTTTTTTTTTGCTTTACTATAGTTTTTTCTTTCCCTGCTGAAATAAACGAGAAGCTGCTGTGATACCACTGAAAATGAAAAATAAACATTTCCTCTTTCCTTCTTTCCTGCACTCATTTTTTCTTCCTTCCTTATTTCTCCCAGATGTGACCACAAAATTATTAGAACCAGAAAACAGAGTTTTAAGGGGCTAAGGGTATAGCTCAGTGGCATAAATGCCTGCCTGGCAAGCACAAGGTCCTGAATTCAATTCCCAATACAAGAAAAAGAAAAACAAAACAGGACTTGGGCTTACTTGATTCCTTTACTTATTGCTAGTGTGATCTTCTACAAGTCTGCTACTCTCAGCTCCTTTTTTGATAGAAATTCAGTATGTCTGCTTTTTCTCTTCCAAAGTTGTTTATTCATTTATTACACTTATTTGTTACATAACATTTGGTTGTATTTGCATTTTTTCTATGCAATGGCAATGTAGTAGTAAATAGCATATATTTTACCTTTAGCGTGCACATTTTACTTTGAAAATATCTAATGAGGTAATACATAAAAACATCTTACACATTTTAACAAAGACAATATACCAGTTTAGTCCAGTGGTTTTCATACTACATTTAGCTTGGTTTTTCCACAATTAAAAGTTTTTAAAAAGTGCACTATCTAATAAGTGAATTGTGTCAGCAGACTGTTGCCCCTCCCTCTCTATATAAAATGACTTCTGAAAGAACCTCCAGAAACAGCTAATTTTCCTTAGAAGACAAGAAAGGGCCAAGTGAATGTCAACCCTGTCTGCAGGTGGTTTTATTCTAATAAAAGATCCACCATTACTTTGACTTATTCTGTTAAATTTGGGATTAGTTGCAAATGCTCACAGCTGTCTAGAAATTGAATTTAAATTTAAAACAATAAAACCAATATTATATATAGTATATACATATAAATATATATATTCCACTCAGCATTTTCAAATTTTAACACATATAAAAGTAAAAACAGGGGCGGGGGTATATCTCCGTGGCACAGTGCCTGCCTGGCAAGCACGAGGTCATGAGTTTGATTCCCGGTACCAAGAAAAAAAAAAAAAAGAAAAACAATTCTTTTCAAAAGGTACATAAACAAGATTATTACAGTTCAGTAAGCTAACAAATTTCTATGCATTCTATGTCCATTCAGAAGTAAAATGGCAACATACTAATGTAGTTATCTTAAAATTTTTGCTGGTATGAAATATATATAAAAGGACCATACTCTGTGACACATGGACTGACAGAAAAGCAAAATATGTAAAATAAATAATAGAGAAAGAGTCTTAAAACTAAAAAGGAAAGCTATACTTTTTGAATATTTAGTCCCTCTTGTGACAAAATGATGGTATGACATGGCTTATATGAATTTAAAACAATTCACTATTTTCATTTAAAATACTCTATAAGAAGTCTGAGGTTATGGAATATCTATTAAAGTAATATAAAGAGAATCATTAGTGTTTATTTTAAGCACAACTTTAAATTCACAATATCATATAGACTTTCTGAGTCAAATAGGATTTTAAAAAATATTTATGTCCATGAATAATTACATTCAACAGGTATTTGAATATTCTA